TCCTTTGCGCGAGTGTAGAAGAATCTCCCATCGCGTCTTTCTCGGAAGGCTAGCCCCCAACGAGAGACCAAACTCTCGAGGAACCTAGCGCCTTCTCTAAATCTGCTACTCGCAGAAGAGAAATCTGTATACACCACCACCACCATTTAAAAATTATCATTGCGTAGAAGTAAAGAGCGCTTCTAGCCCGCTTATTTCCCTCTAGAGGACGTACAACATTTGTATTGCAGTTTGACCGTAATTCCACAGCCAGACTCTAGTACAATAACCGCAGTCCACATCACATCGTCTAGACGCCTGTAGCTTAGCGCGCCGACTCGTCTAGACAGACCCTATATCATGTTGCTTGCTCTGCTAGTGAAGACTATGGCTTTCCTGTGCAGTCGTTGGTTCCTTTGATAGGGTAATTGATGTTCTGAGGTACTAGACCCCGTATAGACCTCCTTGGTATGTGTACTTTGCACAGTGTAACACTTGTAACCGCGCCTAGCACTGTACTAATACTACAGCCAGCAGCCGGAGCTCACTCTGACTCTCCTTTGTACCACCGAACAGAGTTCTAGTGGGTATATTGACCCATCTAGACGGCTGTATTATTACTTAGTAGCGTCTAGACAGACTATTGCTAAAAAGCGCAAATAATAGCCAGAAACAGTGTATTTAGTGACACGCCGTTTCAGCAGGAGCAGGGTAGAGGGACAGTCGGCCGGACGAGCAGGAAGTACTGTGAAGTCACCGGAGTCTTGGAGCGGTCTCCGAGGTAACAGAGTCGGGAAAGAGGACTGGCGGAGCTGATTGACACAGCACCACTGAGGGGCAGGGCGAGCGTATACTGCCAGGAATCGTCGAGACAAGAGGGACAGAGTCAAGAGGAGTCAGGGAGTGACCGGAAGTGACAGACACCACTTTGGAGGGAGGGAAGCAACATTTATTAAACTACTGAAGCACAGGAAGTAAAGTAGGGAGATTAAATAGTGTAGAGTCTTAATATAATGTAAAGGAGATAAGGAGGTAGCATGTGGAAGAAAAAGTAGGACGTCCAAAAGCAGAATGAGAAGTTGGATGAAATCAGGATTGCTGCAGATAATCAACATGAGGTGATAAGCATAAGCTTCGAAGCTTTGAGAAGACGGAGACACATGCGGGGTGAATGTTATCATCTATACTTGAGTCTTATGACTTGCGGAAGTCGCGGCGAACAAGTCTCCGGAATGCCGGTAGTCTCTCCGAACTCCAGAGTTGACCGGAGCCAGGCGACGGACACCGGAGTGTTGTAGATGTTGACCGGGGGCTTGGCATACAGATATAACACTGAGGGCCGGAAAAACCTCTCCCTATAAGGTATGGGAGGGAGGAAAAAGGCTGTGAGAGGTATGCGGGAGCCACTAGTGACTGTTAAACACATAAATTTACTTCCCACTCACCTCAGACGGTGTTAAAGTACTGGTTCCAGCCAAGTTCAACCCAAAGTGGTCCGTGGGTGGGGTCAAAAATATTCTGCAGGTCTACTTAAAGCCTTTGTAGCACTTGAGATAGTCTTTTAGAGGATTATGAGTGCCTTAAACATTGAAATTAAGTGGCTAGTAGTCAGCCGACACAGTGTAAGCTGTCACTTTGTGATGCGCTCTAAACACAGTGAAACGGAGAATGAGGGGCCGATGCGACACTGTGCTGCCAGACTTCAAAGAAAAGCCAGACTCCGATGGAACCGCCAGGAAATATGGATTCTCGCATGACGCTACCAGGCCGTTCAATGCGCGTACACTCAAAATTCAATGTGCACTCACTCAAAAACGAAACGGAAGCAAAAGTTTCTCGATGGTGTATCAGTGGCCAGACTCCGAATCGAACAGAGACCTTGCGAGGGGGCATTATTAGGTCCTGTATCCGTCCTGCATGTGTTACCACTCCGCCACTTGGCCATGATAAATCTGCAATGAGAGAAGAAGCAGGACGGAAGGACAGTCAAATTCAATACAGAGGCGGGTCGACGGGCCGGCATACGGAGTGGGTTCCTGGGAAACGGGGCAACCAAACAGGAAACGGAGTTGGCACGGGGCAAGTCTGAGTCAACTGTCAGCCCCTTCAAACATAGGGAGCGCATGGAGATCATCCATACAGCGAGTCAGAATGGAAATGGAGGAGGGCTCCGTTTCCTAAACAAGGAGTTATTACGCGCGTGGGTATTGGACGGAGAACCGTATAAAAGCCAGCTGTATGATATGGAAATATCATCTTATTACCTCCCACTGCATATACCTAAAGCTACTCCCCCTGAAGTACACCAGGGTGGGGAACTAAATTAAATACACTCCGCTACGGGTCGTGCCACCCAATAGTAGGACAAACCAAGGTCACCTAAAGGCCAGGGCTTATCAAGAAACCCTGTCCGTCTCACCTCCGTTTCGATAAATTGATACAGAGGAAATATAATCAATCCAGAGTTGAAAGTGCACGGCAGTAGATTACGTGGCACACCACCAAACGGCCAGTCGCCTAACTTGGCTTTGTGCAACCGTTCCTTTTCGGAGTTCGAACGCATATCCTTGCGAGGAACCCACCACATCGTACATGGAAGGCCTATCCTACACGATCATACCATTTCCCCCATTCAATTCGCACACTTCACCCCCGAGTCTTCGAAACAGAAGTGATTCCGTTTCAAGGCATTCACCAACAGAGAAACCAGGCTACGAAGGGAATTGCTATAGCCGTCCGTATAGTGTTACACTGTACTGAAGAGACCTGCGGTCCAATACGTTCGAGACGGGTGGATAAAGCATAACAGATAACCCAATTACTCCGGAACGGAACAGCATTTGCATTGCGGAACGAACCCTTCGAGCAAGTGTAGAAAACTATCCATCCGCGGTACCTTCGGAAGGCCAGCCCCAACGAAGAACCAAATCTTCGAGGAACCTGGAAAAGTGTTCAATCCAAACAGAGAGAACTGTACACACACACACACACCACAAATTATATATCGCGCATTAGCGTACCTTTAACTATGCAGCTCCGCGACAGAGCAATTTCCTCCTAGAGGACGAATTAAATTCTGTAAAACACTACTTGACTATACCCACCCCGGGTCAGGCAGTTCACAGAACTGCAGTCCGCATCACAGCGGGTTTAGTAGGCGGCAGGAAGTCCGGAGAGACCGGTCCGACACTAGGGGTGGGAAACACCTTCCCTATATAGAAGGAGGAGGGGTCCAGCCAAGGTTGAAAAAAGATTATTGACCCCACATCCGATTTTCGAATCCCGATTCCCCCTTGATGGTGCCACGCCGTTTTGTTTTCAGCATCTCAAGGTTCGCAAAGTGCCTACAGACTAGTCTCTTCTAAACAGGTGCTACAACATATAAAAACTTGTACCTCGTTATGTTGTACCTATAGACTAGAAATGTCTCTCCATGTGGGAATATGGCTATGTGATATTTCACCTTGCAATGAGTCAACTTACATCTTGCCGGCGCTGCTGGGCGGTGTGTTGATGATCTGAATGATGGTGTTTTGACACAAAGACTCAAGCTCCTCGTGGGTCTCTTTGAGACAATGCAACAGGGGAAACAAAAAATCCAACCAAGCCTCAGCGCTTCCAAATTTTATTTGGACTTTTTGTTTACACCGAGGATAGGGGCTAAATGATAGTATCAAGAATGACGTAGGGCAACTGGTCACACTTTTGGCGGACATTTTTGGACATCTAGAGCAAAAACTAGAACTACGTACTGTTTTTGAATCACCCAGAACACTGTAGAACACAGCATTGAAGGCAGGGAAGGCCCTACAAATATACTCAAGGGGCAGTGGTGATCAGATGCACCTCTATATAAAAAGTCTATTGACTACTTGTGGCATCACATTTTTTTGGAGTCTGACTGCGGGAGACTAATATGCACCTACCAGCATGCTGTAGAACGAGAAAATAAATGTTTTTTTTTGCACCATTTTGAGAGGTCAAATCATCGACCTTGTGAAGAATTGGATTAGCTTTGTGATCTTGTGACTTTTTTTGACCTTGTACAAGGAAAAAGTTATTTGTCAAAAGTCTGATGCAACAACTATCCACTTTAAATCCACCCCTTGCATCCAAAATTCTAGCGAAGTTGAACGAGACTTATTACCCAACAAAATGCTGACAATACATGTCCCCTCAATCACAACATGACTGTACCAGTTCTTCCAAATGTTAAGCCTGAATTACCAGGACAAAGGGATATCGCCATTGTGGCAGTTTCGCTGAGGACACCTGAATCAAGCCACACACTGGCCCGGACCCAAGGAAAAAAATACTGGACAAAGCCTGGATGAGTACGTACAACGTGTGAAGTGTCGTAAAGCTGATTTCGCGTCGCGACCTTGGCTCGCCTCGCTTTGTGCTTTCTTCCTACCACCATGGCTCATCATCGGACCATCTCGCTGAAGGACGAGCACGAACATAAAATGTTGCCCTCGCCTGGGGCAAATAGTCAAAGTGGATGTGAAGAAGACGACTTCATTGACATGGTTCACTGATTTTCTGAGAATTTGGGCCTATTTAACAAATGTGTACAGTATGGAGAGTCCCCAGGGGAGTGTCCTGCTCTTACGGGTGCCGGCAGCACCATCGGTCTTACCTCGCGGACATGAAAGTCCATAAACCCTCGCTGAAAGAAAATCCTTGTAATTTCCCTGGCTCCTCTAAGATGTTGCTGTTAGATCCCCACCTCAAACATAGATGTATGCATTTTGAACCGCCTCACTTATTTACCCTAATGCACTACTTGTTTCCCTCTGTCATTTTGTCCACAGCTTATTTGTTCCCTCATACTCTCCTACTGCAGTACCTTAGATTCGAGAATGTCCACATATGTATTCAAGACTTTCAAGCTCGAATAATAATACCAAGGCCCAGCAGAAGTTAGAGAACTATACTGCAGCCAAAGAAATAAAAAGAAACACCTTTGCATTGCAAGGAGTTCTGAGCCAGGGATGAAAAAATGTATCCGTACTCAGCTACAACCCAACCCCGAATTGAACGGGGATCTCTTGCCTAACTTTCATGTGGATCCAACTATTTAAAGCAAGTGCATTACCTATTGTGCCATTGGGTCTGATTGTACAGATGGAAGGATGAGATGAGCAGGCGGGGAGGAGGCAGAGTGCTGGAATTATTCAATCACTGTGACTCAACTGCCACGATTTACTCTGTTACCTATTGTTACTTGACCCTGAATGGCGCCGCCCAAAACAGCTATGAGGCTCAGTACGAATAATATTTGGAAACACAAGCCTAAAAAGCCTTCTGAACTTTGCTCATGACCCAACCCCGAACCAGACGGGGACCACTTGCATATTACAATCTTCTTGGTGCAATTAAAGCAAGTGCACTGACCATTGTGCTATTGGGTCATGATTGACAAGGGTAAGGTTGAGATGAGTGGACTAGGGCAGAGAGAGTAATATACCTGCTGCTTGCCCGCTGCTGGAGATTTCTGCCGGAATCCACTGAATAACACTGTAAACCGGTGTAAACGACTGTAAATCACTGGAGGATGTTTCACCTACCACATCAGTGGAGATAATCTACATGGAGCCTTGGAGACATTATCTTGGCGATTGCATGGCACCATTATTTTATTTTTAAGGTCTGTAAACGACTTTCGCGTCCCACCTCAATGTATTCACTTCCACCGTGTGAACGCCTGTAAACAATTCTGTGCCCACAGACCCATCTTCTCACGGTTCACATTGTCATCAGATCAATATGTTATAACTTTACAGAGCGAGTACAACATTAGAAATGGCAGGTAGAGTATCCTAGGGTATTTTCGGCTCATCCGAGATGTCCGAGATTCATGAGGTGAGCAATTTTCCCGCGAATCAATAATTCTCATCAAAGGTGTCGAGACTTACCACCGAAGTTATCCACCCATCCCTACGATATTCCGGCGGAATGCGACGGAAACCACTGGAAGTCGGCGGGAGTTTTTGCCCAAATGGATCCACTTATTTCCATCGAAACACGGTAATGCAGTGTGATCCACGGGAAATGGCTGGGATTATCGCACAGATAACTCCACCCATTCTCATCGGAATGCAGCGGGATCTGGCAAAATTCACTGGAAATCAGCGAGAATTCTTGCACAAATATCTCCAGTCATTTCCAGCGGAATCCATTGAAACTCGCTGGGCAACAATCTCGCTTGCTGAAGTCTGTGATTCCCAGTGGCCCGGCATTGGATGCCAGTGGAACACGATGCCGATCGCTGCCGATCAGCCGGTTGCCACCTCCGCGTATATTACTGATATGCTCTCGGCCAATGCGGAAATTTTGGCGAAAATCTCACATAGCCGGAACAAGATCGTCTGATACCACCGGAACACGGATGTATTACAAGAGGATTTGACCTCCATGAGTACAGTCGCAAACGGCGAAGCGAAACACTTAGAGAAATCAGCGGATTGTGGGATGAAAAGCACTGATTTGGGTAATTTTTTGAGTGCAGTCCAACACACTGGCTCCCCTGCTATCGATTGACCACAAGAACCGTGGCCCCGTCTTGAGTGAAAACAAGGCCGAATCAGGAGTTTGTTCGCATTACGGCTGCAGTGAAACACTTGCAAACAACCCTAATCGAGGCGTAAAATGGTGAAACCTCCCCGCCTCAACCTGTAGTTTCATAGAATATTGTGACAGCTCATGCCCAATGTCATTTTCTTGGAATTGATGGGTTGAAGTGTGGTCACAAGTCGGAAAATTTCAGTGAATGCCCATAAGGCCTTGGGTGGAGGTTCCAGGATTTCCAAGGCCTTGGTTGATTCTTCCCACGCATCCAAGCAGTATTAAAGATCAATTTAGATGATAGATTGAAGCGTCAAATTTATCGTACTTGGCAAGTTCAATGGCACCGTCGTCGGGGCGCGCATCCTCCTCCGTATTTGTCCACCTCTTCCCATGCCATGACCTCTGCAGACGGCTTGTGCGCGGATAGTTTCTCTGCCCCCCGAAACAAGAACTCATGGGTCATCACCAGCAGGTTGAGTTGGAAACGGACATCTAAAAGACGGGGGAAAAAATGAAAGAACCTAACAGTATACACACGATGCTCCAAGCCTTGGCCAAGGGCGAAAGTTCCTCCTAAAAATCCTCAAGGCCTTGGCCAAGGGCTTGTTGAGGCCTGGGAGTTTTAAGACCTTGGGCCTTGGGCGAACACTGGAAAATTTGGGATCTTGGTTGAAATTAGCGCAAATTAGCCCTAAATAGTGTCAAACGGGGGTAATGAGCCAGATTCACGGTTCTTGGTGTGTTCTATTGCACTCGGGGGCCTCAAAAACATAAGCTCCACCCTTTTCCTTGCCCAAAAGGACAAGTAGAGGCTGTAGAGCGGGTCACAGCTGTTGTTTGGTAGTGTTCCGCTACGTCAATGCGTTTCGCTTCGCCGTTCGCGACTGTACCTTATCTACCCTCCAAACCACCACACAACATACTGGACACATACCTGGTCCCACCATCCTACAAGACACATGTTACTTTTGGTGAACAACGCCGAAACGCGAAAAAACACGTGAAATCAAAATGACAAATGGCTGATGTGCCAGCGTGCCTCGGCGCAACTTGCCGCGCAAGCAAGTCAATCCGGTCAGAATCTAAAGAATACAAGACCTCACATCTTTCGAAGTCATAACCGGAAAGCCCAACAAACGGACGTCGAACAAAAAAGTCAACAACTTGTCTACTAGGTGCTTAACAGCTCAAACCAAGCTCAAACTGTCAACTCAGCACGGTTTCCCGGGAAGTGGCCCATGCCACCTTATTCTGCTCTTCTGCCACTGTCATGCTTCTACCCTTGATCTCTTCCCGCTCACCAAGATAATGGAATGTACCCCAACCTACAAGTTCGCCGATGTCTATTCTGGATGAAGGTATTTGGGTAAATGGTGGACCCTACACAGAGCCGGAGCGACCTGAAATCGCATCCTAAACTGTTTACGTCAGGCTTTCTAGCGTTGGACACCACGCCACGTCGTCTATTGCTGAAATCACGCCAGAAATGCGACTCAGCTGACCCATATTCTATATTCTATACGTCTGCACCCCAATATAAAACCAATACAGGTATCACCCGCCGTCCCGTTACGTGAGTCCCGCTTTCTCGTTCGATACTTTTCACTCACACGCCGCGGCGTCCTGAGAAGCGAAGCATTAGGCATCCTTTAAAGGTTCTGGAGCCGCAGTACGGCCCACGACTAGGCCCTCTTCCCTGCCCACGTCGCTACTATTCCCGACAATGTCCCAAGACAACGAGAACGAGAAGGGCAATGTCTCCGTTACTGAACACAAGGCTCCAAGCGACAAGGTCCTAGACCCGCTGCCCGAAATAGGAACCCCAGAGCGCATTCTCGCGGAAAAGAAGCTTATTCGCAAACTGGACTTCAGGCTCCTCCCCGCTATTATTCTGATATATCATGAATTATATCGACGTGAGTTTCTGTTTTTACCTTTTCAAATCTCACCTATCGGTACCTCAGAGGAACGGTATTACGACTGCTCGTTTGAAGGGTCTGCAACAGGATCTGGGGCTCTCGGGTACGAAGGGGAAAATTGCGGCTTTGTCTTGCATTAAAGCACTTCTAGACCTTCAATACAGCGTGGTTCTCTCTATTCTCTTCGTGTCTTACTGCCCGGCCCAAATTCCGTCGAATATGGTACACAACCACATTATCGTCCAACCCCGCTAATGTTTCCGCAGATCCTCAATCGCATCAAGAGGTATCATCAATATTCGCCCAGAGTTGTATGCCCACAACTGAACTGTCTATAGGCCGTCTTGGTACATCGGTCTTTGTGTCATGGGATGGGGACTTACGAGGTACGCGCCAAAGTCTTATAGCGTGTGTCTTGGAGAGACTGATGTGGACTGACTCCTAGTTTGCTCACTGGTGTATGACTAAAGCCGAAGTCTCCACCCGATCTAACTGTTGACAGGTGACCAAAAGTTATGGCGGAATTTTAGCTTGTCGAGTTTTTATCGGACTACCTGAGGTGCGGATCGTTTGACACCGGCCATCCTCCTATAACCCGGTCCTGACAAGCGGGTTAAGGCGGCATTCTACCCGGGAGGTACGGAAAAAAGCTTGAGCCAAACTTAGCAATCCCTGAACTACTTTTAGCTATTTATCTATTGTCGCGGTGGTACACCAAAAAGGTGCGAGGCTGAGCTTATCATAACTGCAACCCAGTCAATCCATTTGCAGGAATTGGCTTTTCGCTCTGCGATCTTATACGTCGGCCTCTTGATTTCTAATGCATTTGGCGCTGTAAGACTCCGGGAAATCAGTATACCCCTCAATTGAAAAATTGCTCTAGCTCATTGCTGCGGGAATCCTTGCGAATATGGAAGGCGTACGAGGGATTCGAGCTTGGCGATGGTATGGTTCCATTAAATTTGAACCGCCCTTTGTTTACATCGATTCTAGGCTGTTCTTCATTGAGGTGCGTGTAGGTCAATAGCGTTCCGGTTCGATCACTCAGATATTCAACAGGGTGCTATTACCATTACCGTTGGAATTTTCACAATGTCCGTGTCGATTCAACATCCAAAGTCTAGCCTTTACTGACAGGAAGTGTTTTCAGATGGGCGCTCCCGGATTATGTCCAAATTTACCATCTACTCGTTCTGTGCACTCGCTTATTATCTCAATAGCCCAACAACACAACGTGGATTGTTGGCGACCAACGGCGTCTCGCTCAGGCCCGTCTCGCAGACGACGCCGGGGAGGCGGACCAAGATAATGAGAATGACACGTAAGGTTCTGTGCTCTCCGCTGTTTGTTGAATCTAATCCTCGTCAAGCCCACTTGCTGGTCTTCGCATGGCGATCACCGATCCCTTAATACTGGTATTTGCGATTATGAATTCCGCACAGCTTCTCGGGTTGAGCTTTATCAACTTTTGTGAGACGTCCCTCTTGCCAATTAGTATCCTCGAGAGTCTCATAATTCGGTTACTGTCGCAGTCCCAACGTTCGTCTTGCCTTTTCCCTTCCTGGCGAGACAATGTCTCTGACGACTTTCGTACAGTCTCACTCAAACTCTCGGATTTTCGACAACC